GAGCAAAACTTCTCTCTCTCCTTCTTCTCTCTCTCAGCCGTTTCCTTCTGAGTTGACTACTGCGGTTGTTTTGCTGGGATGTTGCCTGTGGAAATCACCAAGCAGAGAATTTTTAGAAATTGAACAGGTATTTTGTGAAACTTGAGAACGCCGTTTCAAAATTGTCTTCCATTTACCTTCACTCTCTTGCGAAACCCTACCCAGCTAAGAGGACTGACAGGCATCCGCCAAAATTTGAACAAGCATCTAGGAACATCTAATTGGTGGACTGTGTCAATCTTAACAGCTAAGAAACCAATACTGTCATTGTTATTATTTTCCCTTCACCCGAAGGAATTTTAATAACAACCACAGTCCTGGTATCCAAACTTAACCAAAAGGGAAAAGAGAAGAGAATTTAATTATCCTCATTCTGCTACCAGAAAAGGGTATTTTGTTTTGTCTTTCACTCTCATCTTACCATTAGTTCTAATCTTTCTTTACAAAAAAAAAACGTTCTCTTATAGGAAAAGTGGAAGCAGCCAATTATTATTCTGTTCCTTGCTCTATTTGTTATTCTTATTTTCTCCATCTGTTCTCTAGCTGTGCTACCTGTGTGTGCTTACTAATTTCCCCCACATAGACTACAAATTAGAAGCACGCCCACCAGAGGATCACAGTCGCTGAGAATTACATTCACCTGCCCATTACACACTCAACGTCAACCCACACTTGACATTGCACACTTACACCTCTGTTTTGCCTTGTTTGTTTTGTTTTCTCCTCTTCAAGGTCTGTGTCAGTCTAGGTTCTAGATCTCCCTCACCGCGTCAAAACATGCCTCGCACAACAGACCCTGTTTGCCACTGGGAGGACCTCGAGACATGGCTAAGTGTTGCAACAGACAGCCTCCTACCTAAGGCTGCTGAAACACTGAGGCATCAGACACAGGACCAGCTGGATGACAACATAACAAGGAGAACTACACTCACCTGTCCATTACACACTCACTGTCAAACCACACATGACATTGCACACTTACACCTCTGTTTTGCCTTGTTTGTTTTGTTTTCTCCTCTTCAAGGTCTGTGTCAGTCTAGGTTCTAGATCTCCCTCACCGCGCCAAAACATGTCTCGCACAACAGACTCTATTGGCCACTGGGAAGACCTCGAGACATGGCTAAGTGTTGCAACAGACAGCCTCCTACCTAAGGCTGCTGAAACACTGAGGCATCAGACACAGGACCAGTTGGATGACAACATATCAAGCCTTATGAGACAAGACCCAAGTCAGAGCTACAGTCACAAAGAACTAGCCAAGATCACTGGCTCCTTATGCCGCACACTCATCGCCACCCTCAAGCTGAGCGACAGAGACGCTGCACACCTCCAGCAGGAGCTGACACGCGCACAGCAAAGCATTGAGCAGCTAGAACTGGAGGCTCAGGAACGACGGGAAGAGCCCGATGAGGTGGAACAAGGCACAGAGGAGGAGATCACTAGGCTAAAAGAGACCCTAGCAGCTACTACCCAAGAAATGGAACAAGGCAAGGCAGACTACGCTGATCTCTCCAACAAGCTACAGTATGCAGAACAGCTCCTGGAAAAGGCAAAGACCGATTTCAGAGACAAGAATAGCAGAATTAAAGCCCTTGAAACTCACCTGGATGAGTCGAGAAATGAGATCAGCCACCTAACACAACAGCTGGACTACATCAAAGAGGAGTCCGACAGTGTCAGAGAGGAACTCAGACATGCCTACGAGCTGTGCCCTGAGCCAACAAGGACACGACGGGCACCAGTCTCACCCCTGCCGAGCAGGACCGAGTCTTCCTGAACAAAGCATGCCCTGATGCCAGAACGAGAGGCAACCTCGTTTACGTGGACGATGTTCTTTTCAAAAGCTCAAATGTGGCAGACCACCTCAAATAAAACGATCACGTCCTGAACCAGCTGGACACGGCAGGAGCGAAAATCTCCCTCCACAAAGGACAATGGTGTAAAACCAAAGTGAACTATGTTGGCCTGCTCGTCGGACGAGATGGCATCGAACCACAGTCCAGCCGCACCCAAACCAATCCAAAACATAAAGACACCCACTAACATTTCTGAGCTGCAAAGCTTTCTGGGAGTGTGCAATTACTCAAGACAGTTCATTAAAAACTAAGCTGACATCGCACAACCACTGTGTGATCACTGAGAAAATACGAGCCCTTCGTTTGGTTGGAAGCCCAGGACACGGCTATGAGCGAGCTCAAACAACGCCTGTGCTCCTCCCCGTGCCTGGCCTACCCAGACCCAGGAAAGGAATTCTATCTGGACACTGGATTCTCCAATCACTGCCTCAGCGCAGGACTGTACCAGCTTCACGACAAAGACAAGCGAGTGGTCGCTTACGCCAATAAAACGCTGCTTTCCCCAGAATGCAAGTACTCAGACTGTGAAAAAGTTTTGCTTTGCACTGTGTGGGCCATCCAGCATTTCTCCAACTACATTGGATTTCAGAAGGTTATCATTGAAACATGTCACCAGCCAGTCACCTTCCTCAACAGCCAATGAATCAGGGATGGCGTGGTAACCAACGCACGCATAGCTACCTGGTTAATGACGCTCCAGTGACGGGACGTCGAGGCAAGATATGCTCAAAACCACAAATCATCTCAGTGGACACGCTGTACACATCAGCAGAACCTGAAGAACCGTCACAACCACAACTGACAAGCCACAGGTACTTCGAATAGAGAATATGTGTGAAAGGATGCCCACAGCGTAGGTCAATGGCTGTTCCTACAATCAACAGGGCAACTTGAAAGCTGGAGCGGGAGTGGTCTGGCTCAACAATGACCCTTTTGCTTTGCACTGTGTGGGCCATCCAGCGTTTCTCCAACTACATTGGAGCTCAGAAGGTTATCATTGAAACCTGTCACCAGCCAGTAACCTTCCTCAACAGCCAATGAATCAGGGATGGCGTGGTAACCAACGCACGCATAGCTACCTGGTTAATGACGCTCCAGTGACGGGACGTCGAGGCAAGATATGCTCAAAACCACAAATCATCTCAGTGGACACGCTGTACACATCAGCAGAACCTGAAGAACCGTCACAACCACAACTGACAAGCCACAGGTACTTCGAATAGAGAATATGTGTGAAAGGATGCCCACAGCGTAGGTCAATGGCTGTTCCTACAATCAACAGGGCAACTTGAAAGCTGGAGCGGGAGTGGTCTGGCTCAACAATGACCGTCTAAGCTTCACATGCCATCTAGCTGGATGGAAACAGAATGGATTCAAGACAGCTAACAACAAGCCTGTCAAACATCAGGAACTCTTCTAAGCATGCGATGCCACTGTCACTGAACATGACATGATCGTTTATTGAAAAAAGGTCTGAGGTCACTCACGTCAACCAGGACAAGACAAAGATCTCAATGACTAAACCAATGCCCTCGCCAAAGCAGGTGCATTACACGGAGAGTACTGGACATTTCCTGCCCTCCCACCCAACCCATCAGTGGCAGCCATAACCCGCCGCCAGCACACCACTGGAGCGCAAACCCCCGCCTCCTCCCACGTTGAACTCTCACCTCAATTCACCGCTCATGATCTCCTCACCCTCCAAGCTTCGGATCCGACACTGAAACAATTGAAGCTCACCATTCAGACCCATTAACTCATCCAATTTCCACCTCCGACCTAGCCACTTCCTACGATCTCCGCACACTCAACTCTATCAAGCACATGCTGCATGTCAAAGACGGCGTTCTCACATATGTCCCTGTGCCCCTCACTGTGTCAAAGCTCGTAATCCCTCAGGGCCATGGGGGATGATGCTGACAAACGCCCACGATTCACCATGCGCTGGACACCATGGCACCAAGGCCACCTACGAAACGCTCAAGCAAGTAGCATACTGGCCTGGCATGCAGCAAGACGTGGCGGAGTACGTAAAAGGATGCCTGGTGTGTTGCCAGTTCCAACCG